AAAACTGCATCTAAAAATGTCCAGCACTTTCAGAATACTGTTCCTCAACGTATAATTGAAAAGACTTTAAATATATCATCATCTACAGTACATAATATAAAAAAATCCAGAGAATCTGGAGAAAATTCTGTGCGCAGGTGACAAGGCCAAAATGCAATATTGGATGCTAGTGATTTTTGGGCTCCTAGACGGCATTGCATTAAAAATAGGCATAATTTTGTGATGGACATCACTGCATGGGCTCAGGAATACTGCACAAAATCACTGTCTGTGAACACAGTTCGCTATGTCATCCAAAAATTCATGTCAAAGCTCTATCATGCAAAGAAAAAGCCATATCTGAACATAATCCAGATATGCTGCCATCTCCTCGGGGCCAAAGCTAAAAAAAAAATGGTCTGTTGCAAAGTGGAAAAGAGTTCTGTGGTCAGACAAATCAAAATTTAACATTCTTTTTAGCAACCATGGGCACCATGTCCTCTGGACTAGAGAGGAGAAGGAACTTCTGGCTTATCAACATTTAATTCAAAAGCCTGCATTTCTGATGGTATGGGGGTCATGCATCATCCTGTGCAGTGCCATGCCATATGCCTCATGTTTGAACACAAACAGAAATTGCTGACAAGAGTATGTGAAGATTTATTCTGCTATAGACTGGATGTAAGTGCTTGAATGCAGGATACCTTTATTTGTAGAGCATGCTGGGAGACACAAATAGCTACTATTTTAGCAAGTACTGGCCATATCAGAGGTTCCCAAACTTATTTGGCCTACCAACCCTTTTCAGAAAAAAATTACTCAGCACCCCGCTTTGAAATCTACCTTCTTTAAATGAATAAACAGAAATGTGCAGTGACAAATTTCTATATTTCTACCTATATCCTAGGGGAAAAATGAAAGGGGATATGCAGTGGCTAGCACTTCTGTTTGGCAGTATTAGGGTCATTGGTTTGAATCCCAACCACGGCACCACCTGCCTGAAGTTTGCTTGTTCTCCCTGTGCCTGCGTGGGTTTACTCCGGGTACTCTGGTTTCCTCCCACACTACAAAGACATGCTGGTAGGTTAACTGGATCCTGTCTAAATTGGCCCTAGTATGTGTATATATGAATTTAAGTTAGGGGCTTTAGATTATATGACCCTTGAGGGTTAGGGACTGACATGAATGTACTATATATATGTAAAGTGCTGTGTAAATTGATGGCACTACCTGTTATTATTATTATTATACAGGATTTATATAGGCGCCAACAGTTTGCGCAGCGCTGTACAATATAAGGGGAGACAATACAGCAACAATACAGTTCAATACAAGAGGGATAGGAGGGCCCTGCTCCTTGGAGCTTACAATCTAGAATGGAGGGGCTAGTAGGACAAAAGGTAGTAACTGTGGGGGATGGACTGGTAGGAAGAGTAGAAGATTCCATTATTAGCTGAGGGCAGGATAGGCTTCCCTGAAGAGAGAAGTTTTCAGAGATTGCCTAAAAGTGAGCAGAGTAGGTGATAGTCTGATAAATTGGGGTAGAGAGTTTCAGAGGATGCGGGAAGCTCTGGAAGTCCTGGAGATGAGCATGGGAGATGGAGACAAGGGAGCTAGAGAGCAGGAGGTCGTGTGAGGAGCGCAGAGTACGGTTTGGGTGATATTTGGAGACAAGATCGGTGATGTAATTTGGACAAAATAAATAAATATGATTGTCACCAGTGTCACCAATGGAAGACTTCCCATCTCTCACTGTTCTGGGGACTACTCAAAATTTGGGATTTTTTTTAACTTTCACTTTTAATGGTAATGTTAAACATGACAAATAGGGAAGGGGAACAGTTAGCAATAAAAACGTGAAAGGTGTTCTAATCCCTCTGCACTCTATCCAAAACCTTAAAAAAATTGCCTTTAGTTTTCCTTAATTGGCAAAAGAAATTACTGTTTATATGTATTTCAAAGAAACTTTTTTTTTTTCAGTTAGACCACATTTTTCTTTTATGTTGTTTGGGGGTTGGTGTATCGTCTGCATCACTTTTAGTTGTGGAATTGTGTGAAGGCTTGTACCAAGCATCAACTAAGGTTTAATCACATCTTTATTAAAAGACCAAACAGTTTACTAAACCAGCCCAGAGCACGGCAGTAACTAAGATCCTTAAACAACCCCCAAAATGTTTAAAGCTTTGTTGCAAATCCCACAGCCTTTTTTGTAATCATTTTCTGTTTCAGAAACACGGCCGGTTGAGGTTAGGCTCCCCCACCCCCCCCTTCTCTCTTTCAGAATGACCACATTTAAATTATACTTTGTTTGATAGACTTGAAGTCATTTTTTTCCTACCAAATGAGCTATGTAATGCAACTACAGTATGGAAAATTCTACTAAGTCATAAGCCACAATTCAATAATTCAAGTCTCTGCTAAAAATCTACAGAACTGTCACTTCTGCATTAATAGGTTAGAAAACAATGGAAATCTTAACTGTAGTTATACTGTAGATCAAGATTTCAGAAAACCTAAAATAATCTTTCAGAAAAAACTTAGAAATGAATGCAAGAAATGCCTATTTGTATGTGTTCAAATGTTAGAAAGTAGTCAGCCTTCTTCTAAATTTCTATGCCTGTGGCATTGCTCCCATTCATTACTATCATACTGCTTTATCTCTCATCTTCTGTTGCATCGCACAACTCCACCATTGCTTTTTACACTCACAGACCACTTTATTAGGTACACCTTGCTAGTACCAGGTTGGACCCCCTTTTGCCTTCAGAACTGCCTTAATTCTTCATGACATAGATTCAACAAGGTGTTGGAAACATTCTTCGAACCAGTCTGCCCATTCTCCTGTGACCTCTGTCATCAACAAGGTATTTTCGTCCACACAACTGCCGCTCACTGGATATTTTCTCTTTTTTGGACCATTCTCTGTAAACCCTAGAGATGGTTGTGCATGAAAATCCCAGTAGATCAGCAGTTTTTTAAATACTCAGAACAGCCCATCTTGCACCAACAACCATGCCACGTTCCATGTCATTTAAATCCCCTTTCTTCCCTATTCCAATGCTCAGTTTGGAATTCAGCAAGTCATCTTCATCATGTCTACATGCCTAAATGCATTGAGTTGCTGCCATGTGATTGGTGGATTAGCAATTTGTGTTACCAAACAATTGAACAGGTGGACCTAATAAAGTGGCCAGTGGGTGTATGTCAGATGTATGCTTAGTAATGTTTTTGTGTGCTGCATGGAGGGATAATTCTGCCACCCATGTAAATTTGCTTAAAAAAATATCTAATATCTTCTTCAGATTAGCAGAGATAAACTACAAGAGAAATCCTTTTAATATTATTCAGCTATACATATGTGAAAAGTATAGCATAAAGTGTAGTAAGCATACACTCACATTCATACGGTTGCTGGTTACCCATCCTGGGGTCAAGGAACTTATTTAAGCACATGTGGAGAATATGACTATCTCCATGCAGAGGAGTACGGGCTGGCGCATGTTCGATGTTTCTTGAGATTTCCCAGAAATTCTTGCACTACGCTAGGTTATGATCAGATTAGTGAACATAGGTTAAAAGGATTAGACCCCAAAATGGAATTAATGTGTAGTCAGCAGAAGCGGCTATTAAAATGACTTTAAACCTCAAACAAGAAAAATGAACAAAGCATATCCCTCTATACTGTGTACTTGTCTCAATATACAGCATTGAGTGTCACTTCTGTTTCCTACTTCATCCGTCTGGTATCAGCATGAATCACTTCTTCCAAGTATTTTGGACACCAAAAGAACAATGGTGACAGAGGAGGGACCTCCAGCAGATTGACAACCTCCGCTCTGTTCATGTGAGCTGTGTGGAGGGAGGTGTGTCTGTTCCAATCAGCTTTCAGAATTCTCACTGAGCTCTGCAGAGTGTAACTTCAGTTCCCAGTCCCCTTTTTTCTGAACTCTCAGATAAGCTTTAAAATTCAGCACTTTGAATGGATCTAGAGAAGGTGCTACAGATAAACAGGTACAACTTATGCAGGATTTGTTTCATATCTGTCTATCACCTGGGGCCAGTCACTTCATTGGGTATATGTAAGGATTTAGAACCACTTTAACTAAAAATGTGCTTCTAAGTGGATTCTTTGGGAAGGTACAGTGTTTATTGATTATAAAAAAAGGTTCCAACAACATCAATGCATTTCATGGCATTTTAGTAGTCACTTCATCAGGAAAAGGTCTACAGTACACTTTAATGGCTGGGATTTGTGTGCATTCCTTCAGTTAAGGGAAATACAGTACAGTATACTCTGGACTGGTGGGATCTGTGTACATTCCCTCAGCCCAAAGTATATACTGTACTGTATTGCCCTTGGCTGAAGGAATGCACACAAATCCCAGCCATTAACATTTACTGTACACTTTTTCATGATGAATTGGCCACTAAAGCGCAAAAAAAAAAAAAAAATGTTGTAGGACCGGTTCACACCACATGCAGTTCAGCGCATTTTTTTATGCATCAAAAATGCTTGGATAGTAGGTTATATGATTTCCAATGGCATAGATCACACGAGTGCTGTCAGTTCCCAGAAAAAAAGTAGAACATGCTGCCTTTTTTCTGCACTGCACTGTACTGGAATGCGGTAAAATGCATCAAAACTGTACGTAAACGCAAGAAAAATACACCAGAATGCACATGTCCTTATTTATAGTGAAGCAAAAAAGAGAAGGGGGGGGGGGGAATGCACTGGAATGCATCAAAAACACACCAGAAATGCTTCCAAACTCGCATGCAGAAACTCATACAGAACGCATTCAGAGTGCGTTTCTATGGTGTGAACTGGCCCTTACCTGTCTTAATGTTCAATAAATGCAAACCTTCCTGAATAATGCACTTAAAAGCAACTTTTTATTTAACTACTTGCCAACCGCAGATAGCCGAATGATGGCTACACTGCGGCCGGCTAGTTCTGGGAGGGCATCACGATCTCCGTGATCGCTGTGTCCTATGGACACAGCTGATCACGTGATGTGGTAAAAGGCCAGTCACAGCGGCCTTTTACCACATGATCAGCCGTGTCCAATGACACGCTGATCACCGGGAAATGCAATTGCCGGTTCTCGGATGCACTTTCCTCACCTTGTCAGAGCAGGGATCGGCACCGATCATCAGGGCACTGATGATTAGTGCCCTGATGATCGGTGCCCAGCAGCGCCACCCACCAGTTCTGCCCACCTGTGCCCAGCAGTGCCGCCCAGTAGCTCTGCCCACCTGTGCCCCACAGTGCCACCCACCTGTGCCCACCCACCTGTGCCCATCAGTGCAGCCCAGCAGTGCTGCCAGTCAGTGCCACCAGTCAGTGCCCAGCGGTTGTGCCAGTCAATGCCTAGCAGTGCCGCCAGTCAGTGCCCAGCAGTGATGCCAGTCAGTGCCACCTATCAGTGCTGTCTATCAGTACCCATCATCAGTGCCGCCTATCCATGACACCTCATTAGTGCTGCCTATCAGTGCCGCCTATCCGTGGCACCTCATTAGTGCTGCCTATCAGTGCCGCCTATCAGTGCCCATCAGTGCTGCCTCATCAACGTCTATCAGTGAAGGAGAAAAATTACCTGTTTGAAAAATTTTATAATAGAAACAAAGAAACTTTTTTTTTTCAAATTTTTTGCACACTTTTTGTTTATAGCGCAAAAAGTAAAGCGCCCAGCAGCGATTAAATACCACGAAAAGAAAGCTCTATTTGTGAGAAAAAAAATAATAAAAATTTCATATGGGTACAATCTTGCATGACCGCGCAATTGTCAATCAAAGTGCGACAGTGCTGAAAGCTGAAAATTGGCCTGGTAAAGAAGGGGGTATAAGTGCCCTTTAAGCAAGTGGTTAAAGAGCACCTCTGCTGATCACACTTTGGGGTTGATTTACTAAGACTGGTGCAGCTGTGCATGGTAGCCAATCAGCTTCCAATTTCAACTTGTTCAATTAATTTTAGACAATGAATCCTGGAAGCTGATTGGTTTCTATGCAGAGCTGCACCAGATTTTGCACTCTCTGGCTTCAGTAAGTCAGCCCCATTGGTTCCATTTTGAGGCCTCACCCTTTTTCCCAGTATTCACATGCTAGCACCCTCTGCTCCAGTTGTAAGCCTCTGCATTGTACTTTTGGCTAGATCTGTCTGTTGTTTGGACTGCGGGTAATTGTGTCATTTTATGTTGAATACATTCAAGGACACTTTTACAAAGGCAAATGTTTGATGCAAGAGATATTTAGGTGTCAATGAAAGCAGCTTTAGGCTAGGTTCACACCTATGCAGTTTGCGTTTGATCCGTTTCTGCAGTACGCTATGTGTTTTGCTTTTTTTTATTTATTACTTTCTGCAAAATGCATCAAAAATGCATCAAACACGCACTACATGCTTTTCTGCAGCTTCTTCATTGAAGTCTATAGAACCAAAAACGCACCATTGTGCTTTTAACAAAGCCCCTGACCCTTTCCAAAAGATGCAGAAGGTGAAAATGTGGAGATGTGAACCCTGTCCCATAGGAAATCATGTTAAATGGACTTATAAGAAAAAAAAAGTGCAGCGCTATAGTGAATAACATGGGTGACGTGAAAAATAATAAAACAATGGTTGACTTGCGTGAGAAAATAATTAGTGCATAATTAACTATATGATATGAACAGTCAATCTCTTATGTATAGTGTCCAAAAATTTGTAAATAAATGTGACATCAAGTGATGAGTGAATCCGTGACAATTCTTCCTCCTAAAGCATGTAGGCTCCTCTCTGACGAGTTTCGTGCACACACACGTTATCAAAGGGGTCCCTTTGATAACGTGCTTGTGTACAAAGCGCGTCAGTAGGGGCCTACGCGCTGACCTCATGCCACCACGTCCATAGGATGATCTGGCGGCTATCTTTGTAAGTGGATTACATCTGTTTTTATGCTCCACATGGAGGCTTCTATATTTTAATAAAATTTACTGCACCATAAGCGGTTTTCTTTTGGCTCTTTTTGTGAGCTGTTTCCTTCACGGTTGGGCCATTTTGCTTCTGAGAATTAAGCCACCTTTTTGGGGAACCAACTGTCTCTGTTGAATTAAAGCTGTGCATACCTTTAATCTGTACCTGGATAAGGCTGACCTGCTGGAGGAGTTTTTCTATTTTGAATGTGCATTCATTATATGTTTCTGGTGAGGGCATTAGGAGGAAGAATTGTCACGGATTCACTCATCACTTGATGTCACATTTATTTACAATTTTTGGACACTATACATAAGAAATTGACTGTTCATATCCTATTGTTAATTATGCACTAATTATTTGCTCACCCATTGTTTTTCACATCACCCATGTTCTTCACTATAGCACTGCACTTTCTTTTTATTATATGTTTATGAGGATAAAAGTGGGTTGCCCTTTTTGTGCTAGCAGCTGAGACTTTTTCTCCCTGAGCGCTCACTATATCGTTCTTTTTACATATGTTAAATGGACTGCTGTGCGTTTCTGCAAAACGCATCGGAAAACGCATAGGTGAGAACCTAAACTAAGTCAGTTGTATCTTTCTTTGCCATTTCCGTTTAAATTAGTTTTTGTGCTGCTATGTTACAAATCTGCAAACTGTTCAACTAGCTTTCCTAGACCATGGATATTAGAATTGTATGTGTATAGTGAGATCATCACTGTCCTGAGACACAAAAAGGATGTGCAGATGTTTACCACTAAGTGGAGAAAATCTATTCAAGTTAATAGCTTGTTACTCTCTGCTTTGTAAGGCCACCTGAAAGTGCAGAGCAGTTCATGGAAGATGATCTGCATCAGTTTGCATTAGTTAAGGACTTGTCATGCTTTGTGTAGTTGCCTTTTTACTGTGGATGAATAATAGCTGTGTGTCATAGCCAGCGAATTAGAAGCACAAGCCGGCTAGTGAGACTGACCGCGGGTCATTTGTGATGGCTGCAGTCTGTATTAGTTAATGCCATGCAGCGTATCACATATCTTTACACGGGTGTACAATATGCTAACTGGATTATAAACCGTCTGCATTCTTTACTTTACAAGTTTGAGTTCAGCTTGAATATATTACCACTCTCTTACATTTTGGTTGGGATTAAATATACAGGAGAATAGGGATAAATAGGTAACATCTGTCTGTAAAACGGTTTGCACAGAAATGACAACCTCTTTCAAAACAGGGACCATAAATAAACAGCCTCTTAGTTTAACCAACGTAGAGCCTACATATTGTTGTTCTTTAAAATTAGTGATGCACCAATATATCAGCTGCCAAAAATAGAGTTATCAGCATTTTGGCGATAAAAAAAACAGTTCCGATAACGATAACTGACTTCAATGCAAAATTGCGTCCTATTGACTTCAATGCAGAAATGCCCCCTATTGACTTCAATTAACAAACGCCCATAGTTAAGTTTTTTTTAATTTTATATACAGTATATGTCACTTTATTTTCTGTCCAATTTGTGTGTGTTTACTTTCAATATGAGTTATTTTTAATATTACTGGATTATTTTTTCTAAATTCATATTCATTTAAATTCATGATAATAATTCATGACAATTACACATATATATATATATATATATATATATATATATATATATATATATATATATAAAATATTTTTTAAAAACTGTCTATTTTGGTTTCGGTTTTTGGCCATATGCATCCTGAATTTTCCGTTTCGATCTCGAATTTTCATTTTGGTACACCACTACTTAAAATATATGATTGGCTGCAGTCTGTCTATAACACAGATACAACTTTTCATGCAATTTGGCCATACAATTTGCATGCAATGATCGGCAATGGAACCGTTCGACAGAGTCACACGGATTTGAAAAGTAGTTCCTGCACTACTTTTGCCGATTTTGGGTGCGACTTGCATAGATATCTGTGCATGAAGTTGCACAGATGTCTGCAAGTCGCACCCAAAGTCGCATTGACATGGGACTTTGAAATTGTGCGACTTCCAGTCGCATACTTTGTTATTCTTACTTTGTTATTCATACTTTGTTATTCGCATGCAGTGTGAACGAGGCTAAACTGATATTAAAGCTTGTATTGTTTTTTAAATAAAATAATAAACATGTTATACTTACTGGCTTTGCACAGAGCAATCCCAATCCTCCTCTTATGGGGTCTCTTATCGCTTCTGGCTCCTCCTCTTCGGTGAGTTACCCCATAGAAAGCAGCACTTGTGCAGGGTCACTCCTGAGCCACCACGTCTGCATCTTTTGACACAGACACAGTAGTTCAACCCTGCACCCCCCCACGCTTCCTCGTCACAGAATTTGATTGACAATGGCTCCCACTGCTATCCTCGGCCCTGTGAGGAGGGAGGGAGAGAGCAGAGTGCTAGATCGATATTTAGGTAAAAAAAACCTTTAGGCTTTAGAACCCCTTTAATACCAGATTCACCAGCAGGTGGTGATGAAAGTGAAATATATTATTGGTACACACAGAGCTGCTGCCTAAAACAGATACTCCTTTAGGTTCCTAATTAGAGATTTCCCTAACATGCAGAGGACTGGTAGTTTTACTGGAATACTCTTTTAGGGAAGAAAAAGAAGTACCAGACATGGGCATATGCAACAAAAATTATATTGTGTTCTCTGTTTTCTTTCGGTTAACCACAATCAGTAAATTAGACCCAGAATCAAACTATTCTCTTGCACTGGTTTGCTGATTGGATCATATACAGAGCTGAGACTGACACAAAGGACTTTAATCATACATAAGTGTTTTCATTCTTTTTTATCCCCTGCAGAACCTAAATGACATGATGTGAAAATTACAAGAGGGAAATAGATATAAAACTGATCTGTAACTCTTCAAACTTATTGCACTTACATGTGTTCTCTCCCTCAATACAGAATTCTAAAGAGAATCATTTTTCTACCTGGGTTCTATAGAACCCTAGGTTTTCTCCAAGGGTTGTTTGGGTTTCCATGAGCGTTGGCAGATTGATCTCCCACTGCACAGTGGGGGTTATTTACTAAAACATCAAGATGCAAAATGTGGTGCAGCTCTACATAGAAACCAGTCAGCTTCCAGGTTTTATTGTCAAAGCAACAAGCTGAAGTTCAAAGCTGATTAGCTACCATGCACAGCTGCACCAGATTCTGAGTGCACCAGTTTTAGTAAATCTACACTGATGCCTACATAGTTCCAGGAATGACAGTCAGCAAAGTGAAATGGGTTCTTGACCTTTTGGCTAACAGCCACTAACACCAATGATGTTTTAGCTGTTTGCAGGGGGCACATGCTTGCCACAGTTGTCTAAGGTAATAGGACATTCTTTACACTGAACATCAATGTAAGGGGGACTCAATGTCTCCTGTTGACCACTAGTGTGAGGGAGACCTACACTGACTACCAAGGCATTCTTTACACTGACCGACATAAGAGGGCCCTTCTCCACTAACC